AAAACGGGACTTCGTCCCTTTTCGTTCGTCCTTCGTCCTCCGTCGGCTTCGCTTTCGTCTTCTTCTTCTTCATCTAGCTGCTGCCACATCTTCTTCTTGATACGTTTTCTTTTTTTTTTTTGTCTGCTTCTTCTATTTTGTTGGCCCTGCGTTGCCAATGGTTTCCTTTGTTCCCTCGACCGCCCACTTTGCGCCCACTTTGCACCCACTGTGCAGCCCCCACCCCCGATTCACCCCCATTCTCCACCCCCCCGAAAAAACATCCACTCTAAGCCAAGTCTGTTGCACTCACAAAACGACGAGCGCGACCCCAAACAAAACACAAAAACAAAATCAGCAACAGAAGCAACAAGAACAACAACAAACACGAGGCGAATGACATCGAATTTTCGACTACCCTTATTTTTTTGGAGATTTGAAAACGCCTTTGATAAGTGCGCACGAAAGTAGGCAATGGATTGGTGAGCTCACTAGTTCGTTGCATACTTTTTGGCACATTTACTTTCGCAGGAAATTTAACTTTTTAAAAAATTTGCAGAAGAAAAATTTAACTTTTGTTTAATTTTTATTCTATTGAGAATTAATGCAGATTGCTTAACATTTAAGGTAAAATGTGCACTCGTAATAATATTGTAATAATTCAAGCCAAACACATCAAGTAACTTCCATTTAATTTGGCATAACCAAAGTAGCAAAAACATTGTTTTGAAATTAAATTTAAGAAAATTAAAAAACAATTTTTTTTTTTTAAATTTGAAAGTGTTAATGCAAGTTGATTAATTTTTTATTTAGAGATTATTTTTGTTTCAAAACCCATTCGAAAACCATTACGTTTCGACAGATTCGAAATCAGGAAAGAGTAGAGTTAGCGATTTCAAAACTCCTTAAAAAAATGTTTTAGAATCTTTGCTTTTCATTGTATTGAATCCTTTTCTGGGCACTTCAAAGTTTGTAAAATTAATTAGTGGACATTTTTATTATAATTTAAATAAAGATATTCTAAAAGCATTTTATTAAAATATATTTATTATTTCAACGTTGAATTAGTTTAAAAAATCATTGATTCCTGTGTAAGTCATTGAGGTCCATTTAATATATTTAAGAACTCATAAGAAAAAATTTTTTGCTGATGGACACTTGCAAATTACAACAACAAGAAGAACGAGCCCAATGGACACTTTCGCCTCAAATTTTAAATGTTGTTTTTATTTTTGTGTGCGTCTTTAGACGAAAAACCCAACCACCCACCTACCTCCCCCTTTTTTTTGCGCTGCCCTTCGACAGCAACAACAACAACAACAACAGCACAAACAAAACAGAACAAGAAAAAGTGAAAAGAAAGCAAAAAGAAAGCGGCGATTCTGATTCTTTTTGTTTGTGTTTTCGCCCCTTTTGTTTTGCTCGTTTTGTTCGTTGCGTTTTTGGACTCAAGAGAGAGAGAAAACGTTGCTCTCTCGAATTCTCTCTAAGCTCTGCCTTCTCTTTTGCACACTCTCTTGAGATGCATTTGCACTGCAGGCCGAAATTCTGATTGGAGATATTGCGAAAGTTTTCCTTTGGCAACATGTTTCCAAGACAAAAATGTTGCTTCTACTTTTTTTTTGTTTTTGCTTTCAGGAAAACCCCAGGAAAAGAGGGAAAATCAAAGAAAGTTTTAAAGAAAAGTGGAAGAAGAATTAAGGTGCTAATTACAAAACAATACAGAGATTTATTTCCTCCTCCGCGGGATGAAAAGCTGTCAAAGTTTTCCGTTTTGAATATTTTGCAACACAAATAACTCGCTTTTCTTACGTTACTTACTCAACTTACCTGATTTTTAACTCTATTATTCTTATTTGAATAGCCTATTGTTTAATTGCACTTTTGACAAAAAATAACATTTTTTGTATTATTTTTCTATAACGATTAATTTGTTTTTAAAAATTTATAGGTAAACTACTATTTTCTATTTATAGGTTGGTTTAGTTCTTAAAAAGAAGTTCTATTAATATATCTATATTAATTAAGGATTGCATTTAGAAAACCAATAAATTTCAGACGGATAATTGCAGTTCTATATCATAAGATACTGCGATCCTCCGATTCCTATGGCAATATCATATGGTATTGAGTTTTAAAACTGCTGACCTATGTATCAAGAAAATAAAATGTTACATATATGTACTTATTTACCTACGAGTTAGGGATAAAGTCAAAAACTAGAGCCAAACGGCCATGGAAAACATGTAACCCACCCCGGATTTACAGGGCAAGAAAAACCCCTAGAAAACTGCGCCATGTTTTTGTAACTATGGCAGGGAATCGTCGGCCATTAAAATCGAAAAACTTTGAATTTAAATGGAAGTGCAACGAAAGTACATTACTTAAAAATAAATCACTAGAGCCCTACACTCATTCAATAAACAATAAGGTAAAGGGTCAAATATTGCGTACAATTTTTTTTTTACAGATTTTGATTTTATTTAATTAAGATTAATTTCTTTTCTTTTTTCAGTTTCCTCAAAAGGATCCAGAAATTTTAACGTTTTGAAAATCAGCTGATTAAAAAATTTTCATTTCAATCCATTTTAACAATGTGTTTCATTCCATTTCTTTAGATTACAAAAAAAAGGATTGCGAGGGAGATGGAGATACGCAGTCGTCACCGCTCTCCAGCGGCTGTTTAAATTTTTCTCATAACTTTTAAATGGATTGTCCGATTTACAAATTGTCTTCTACATTTCGATATGTATTAATTAACACAACAAATGGCAAACTCCAACTTTTACAAAATTTGTAAAGTTGTGGGCGTTAGAGTGGGCGTGGTGCTCGGCTGAAACAATCATGCGCTGCGTAGAAGGCCCAAGAATATGTGTGTTTAATCCCAACTTTCTAGCTTTTGTAACTTCCGAGATCTGAGCGTTTATACAGACGGATCCTGATCGGGAATATATACATATACTTTATAGGGTCGCAAACGCTTTCTTCTACCTGTTACATATTTTTGCAGGAATACGATAAAGGAGGGCCCAGAAAAAAAACATGCACTAAAAACAGCTGAAACTCAAGAGCGAATAAAGGTCGCCACCCCCCGCACTCACTCTCTCTCGCTCACGGACTCTCTTTCCCCCACTCCGCCTCCCCCCTTCCACCCACTCACACTCAAAGGCAGCGCAGTTGCAGCGGCAAAGCAGAGAGGCAGGTTGCTCTCTCTCGCTCTCACTTGTGGGCTGGACTAGCAGTCGTTGTTGTTGTTTTGGCCAGCCTAAAAACGATGATCGCACGTGTGTGCGTGTGTGTGTGTGTGTAATGCATATGGCTGACTTGCTGTTGTTGCCCTTTTTGCAGTTGTTGTTTTTGTTTCTGTTTGTTTTTATCTCACACTCTCGCACACACACACACATGCAGGCGGCCTATGCAATCGAGCGAATACGAATGATAAATATCACGTGTGTGTGCGAGCGAGAGGTCTGTTTGTTTTTTTTTGTTGCTTTTTAGTTTTCTGCCTTTTGCCTTGTGGCTTGTTGTTGTTGCTCTTTTCGCCTTCTTGTGCGTCCATTGGGCATTGCATTCATTGTGTGGGTGAGAGTGCATGTGGTTGCGGAAGTGTGTGTGTGTGTTTGGACAGCCTCTCTCTTTTTTTAAAAACGCATAAATGTTGATTACACCAAATTGACAATTTGTTGTTGTTGCCATCTCACTTCTTTTTGGGGTTATGTCTGATTGGAACCATACGTTGGTTCTTATCGGAACATTAATACAAACAGTTAATGAAACGGTAGGTTGATGTCTTATTAGAATATTCATACAACGCTTTTACGTTACTTTCTTGGAATCTTATTAGAATTTGTAATCCGTACATATTTATTTATTAATTTGGGTCTTATTAGAGTCTTCATTAAAACCGTTTTCGGTTTGTGTCTTATTGGTGCCTAATTTTTAAAGTACATTCTTATTGGGAACTTACCTAGAAAGCTATTAGAATCTTCGCAGAATCTTATAAAGTCAATATTTTGGAGTTACGACTCATTGTAACTGTACTTTGGTGTTTGCTAGATCCCTAGAATGGTCCAAATTAAGAATAACTTAAACAAAGAAAAACTCCTATTTATAAGAAAAAAAATATTTTAAAAAAATTAACATTCGTAAATAAAAAAAAGTTGGGTTCAAAAAGAAGCCGAAGGCGTTCCTTAGGTTCCAGCATGTTAATTGAAAAGTTTTTGGAGGACCCTGAAACCCATTCTGAGAATTGTTCCTTTACACAATAAAATCCACTACAGAAGTTTATTATAAAAGGCGGAACTTTCTAGCTATTAACGGTACAAATTTGGTAACTGTCGGAGAAAAAATCGTATAGTTTGATGCACAGCTTACCTTTTTTAAATCGTCCAGAGTTCAAGTTAATGCCTTTTATCTCGAAAGGGAGATTTACGGATATTTAATTTATCCAAAGGGAATAATACTAAAAAGAAGTGCAGAAATGGCAAAACAATTAACGCATTACTTTGCTATTTTATAATAATTTTTTTGGATTGTTTTCACCATTTTGTGTGCTTATATTTATTTTTATGGCAATTTACGCGTTAATAATAATATTTATAATTATAAAACAAAAGCAAAACCAACTATCGCCAACAAATCCAATTGGATTTTTAGCCGCCAAATTTTGAATCGAAGCGTAGTCAAAGAAAATAGCTAAATGCCACAGAATCGAGGGGTGCATCGTGCCGACAAGCTGACTGCTACGAAATGCGGGCACATTTGACAGCCGCTAAGCGGCAGAGCTGTCAACCTTTTTCTAAATTTACTAGTGCGAATAATAAAAGTACCCAGCAAAAGATAAAACAGAGTTATAAAACACAAGATAAAATTGAAAGTAAATGGGGAAAAGTGTTTTCCCAATTAAATAAAGACATTTAGATGGTCAAAAAAGTATGTGAAAAAGTGATAAGCCGCCACCGGCGCTCTGGCAACCCTGACCTTCTGACGTGCCGCTCACACGCACGCCAGCCGCACACACACACACAAACATTTTTTGTCCAAGTGTGCGTTCGACATTCATAATTTTTTGTGGTTGAAGCTGACTGCCCAAAAAAAACCGAAAATTAACACAATTTGCCAACGTTATTTGCGTTCAAATTGCAACTTAAATTCAGCAATAACTTTGCGCCGCTTCGCTGTGAGTTTGTGTTAAATCGAAAGTTGAAAATTGTACAGAAAAATCATTGTTTTTGTCCCCGCAAAAAACAAAAAAAAACGGGAAAAGAAAAAATGCAAGAAGGGGAAAAGAGCAGGCGAAAAACAACAACAACAAAGGGCAGGAGCGGCTGAAGAAGAAGAAGCAGTTAAAAATTTAACAAAAATGCAAGAGGAAGAACAAGAAAAAGCCGTCAAAAATTGATAAAAACTCATGTCAATCCGTGTATGTGTGCTGGTGTGTGTGAGTGTATGCGCAAAAAACAAGAATCTTTAAGTTTTCCTTTTTTTTTTTGTTTAATTAAATTCGCCGAAAATGTGGCGTTTTCTTTTTTTTGCGCTCGCCCTCTTTGTCTCGCCCGTTCGCATATTCTCTCTTCGCCTTTGTCTTTTTCGTGCGCGTTGTCTGCGTTTTGTCTGTGTGCGTGCGTGCGTGTGCAAGCCGTATGTGTGTGTGTGTGTGTGTCAGCAAAAAAAAAGGAAAATCTTATTAGCTGCTTTTTTTTTCTGTTTTTACTTAGTTAAATTGCCAACATTATTGATTTTCCAAGCATTTTTCCAACGCTTTTCCGCTCTGCTTCTTCTTCGGCTGCGGTCTGCGTGCACATTTGTCACCCAAAAGGGGGAAATCAATAAATTTGTGAAACAACAAAAGCCGCACACTTGAAAAAATAAATGATGATTAAATTATTTTGACGGTTTTTTTTGTTTTTTTTTCTTGCCTTTATGGCCATTGTTTAATTTCTAGAAACTTCGACTTTGTTTTGTTTTTCGTCTTTGTCTTTGCCGTTCGCCTGTTTTTTTTTCCTGTTTATTTGACTTGATTTCTCTGTGTGTCGGGGGGAAATGTAAACAGTTAAAGGAGCCGCAAGGTCACGTTAAGAGGGGGTGGTATTTGGGTGGGGGTGGGCTGCCTTACAGACAAAGATACAGCCTAATAATAACCCATTATTTTTTGTTTATCTGTAAAGTGTATATTGAAAATATCACAAAATCTCAGGATCTAGTTGAGCTAAAGTCACTATATTTGGTATACAGACTTCTTTAAAGATCATTTTTATAACAACAGATTAATTGGTAGTATTTCGTTTTTTTTTTTCTAAATATAAAACCACTATGTAGATTCAAATAAAATAGATTCCTTTGTATAGTAGTTCCCCTTTTTATTAACCCTAGTTTCACTGTTCTAGGGACACATCTCTGTGGCATGCAAAATTCTGCAGCAAAACTTTCTTGAGGAAAGTGAAAGCCACGTATCAAACCGAAATCCACCCAACTAACCAACCCCCACACACACACACATCTTTATAAGTAACGACCTTGGGCAACAGAAGGAAAATAGTATTTTTATTTCAAACTTAGTTGCCCAAAGAAAACAGGGTTGCCACCAATGCTAAGAATTTTGAAAAACGTTTATTTAAAAAAAAATTTTTTTAAGGGTTTTTGGTTTTTGAAATAAAATTCCTTGGAATAAAATATTATTAAATACACTTAATAATTTGATTATTAAACCACTATTTTTGATCGCAATCCTTTCTTTCGATTTACTAGTTCGACGAGAAGCATCCCCAGTTTTCTTCGCCCCCCGACAAAACTAGTTACTTTCCGCAGCTGCAAGATGTCGAGTCTGCCACGTCGCATCATCAAGGAGACGCAGCGCCTGATGCAGGAGCCGGTGCCCGGGATCAATGCCATTCCCGACGAGAACAACGCCCGATACTTTCACGTGATCGTCACCGGTCCGAACGACTCGCCCTTTGAGGGCGGCGTCTTCAAGCTGGAGCTCTTCCTGCCGGAGGACTACCCCATGTCGGCGCCCAAGGTGCGCTTCATCACGAAGATCTACCATCCGAACATCGATCGGCTGGGCCGCATTTGCCTGGACGTGCTGAAGGACAAGTGGAGTCCGGCGCTGCAGATCCGCACCATCTTGCTCTCCATTCAGGCCCTGCTCAGCGCACCCAATCCCGATGATCCGCTGGCCAACGACGTGGCCGAGTTGTGGAAGGTCAACGAGGCGGAGGCCATTCGCAATGCCCGCGAGTGGACCCAGAAATATGCCGTCGAAGACTGAGCGCGATCGCGGATGAGGATGAGGACGCCCGACAGGTTGAGGAGGCGAGTGAGGAGGCGGGTGCGGCAGTTGTATCGGCGATTTTCCAGAAAGTGGGTGCGCGACTTGGACGGGCGGGTGGGGAAAATGCATACTTTAAAAACAACCGGAAAAACCTAAAGCATACGAAGAAGAAAAACATAAAGCATAAAATAAGAAAGAAAGAAAGAAAATGATAAAAAGAACAACTTTTTTTTTCGAACCTTCTGGGGCGGGATATACATATAATATACATATATTTTTTTCAACCAATCGATCGGGGCGATCGGCTAGAGGGGAGGAGAGATAGCGAAAGCATTCTTTATGTAAGTCATATACAATACATGTATCCGAAAACGAAAGAAAAAACAAAAAAAATATCAAAAAGTAATTGGTTTTAATCGTTTCTATTGATTTGTTCGAGGGGTCTGGTGTCTATATGCATATAGCCGTATATATATTTCTATGTGTAACTGAAATAACCAACCCATAAGCATTAACCCATGTAGCATCAGATAATAAATCAATTGGAAAGGCAATTAGAGGGGATTTTGGTTTCTTTCAAGTGAAAACTCTGTTTTTAATACGATCCCATCCGTTTTCAATGTTTCACCAACTTTCAGATGTGATCTTTGTATTTTCCTTAACTAGGTTAGTTCACCATTTCGATTGATACTTGAGCTTTGCCTGGGTTGTGTCAGAGTCCCTTTGATAAACGATAAATGGTTTTAATCGAAAACAATTTTTTTTTAACCAAACAAAGAAGCCTTTAAGCTATTAGTAATTTTTGAAAAAAATACTGATTAAAAATATTATAAAAAAAATATAAAATAAAACAATGAATGCATACACTATATATTTATACAAAAAAAATATGAAAAGTAGTGGCTTGATTGCGTGGACATTTTCAAGAGCAGTTCTCAACAAAAATTGTGTACAGTAATTAACTTTTTCACCCAAATCACTAAAGGATAAACCGAAAAACAATAGCAACGGCAAAGCAACCATAAATCAAAGAATAAACAAGAATTAAAATCAAGAAAATCACTTCAGTTTTTTTTTTAATTTAAATAAATTTTTCTAAGAAAAAATAAAAATAAAAACGAAATAAAAATGAAAAATTAAAATAAAAATTATAAAAAAAAACGGAGTTGTGTTTTATTTAATTTAAACGTGGAGCGTGGTTTTCTGGCAATAATAATAATCAGTAGGTAAGTTGGTTAGTGTTCTAAAAATAGAAATCTATATTTTCATAATATTTTATTATCAATTAAATGTAATTTTAACTTTTCAATTTATTTTATTAAACTTGGGAAAAATATAAATCTTACATATGTTTATCTTAATTCATTATAATTTAGGACTAACTTTTAAATTAATTAATGTGGTTTTAAAGAAAAGTGGCGTCTGCCTTGATATAAAAATATTTTAAAAACACCGAACTTCGGAAATAATTATCCCTAAAAACGGGAAATTCTTCAATGAATTTAGAAGACGATGTGCTGAGTTAAATAATAAATTGTGTTTACTTGTCACGACTGCAGTTGTCAATCATTTCGCTCAACTTGGGTCCTTCGGATTGGGGATTGGATTTTCCCTGCCGTCCCGGGCCTCCCACTAAGTCCGGCTTAACCCTTCGATGCCCCCTGTCCAGCGGGGGACCCTCGCAAAAATGCCTTTCTCTGCTTCTCTATTTTTCATGGCTTTATCCGTTGAGAGGTTGGGAGTGGGTGGGTGTGTGTGTGTGTGCTGGCCACTCCCCCCGAAAAAAAGGCGAACCAGGACCATTTTCCCGCCTCTGATTGGGTGCTCTTCGCCGGCATATATACGTATATATATGTAGTATCTGGTCCTGGCGATTTCGAGGCCCCTGACCAACAACACAGGGCAGTCAAATGTCGAACCTAAAGGAATTTTTTCCCTCTACTTTCTATATTTTTCATTTTTATTTTTTTGTCTTTTTTATTATTATTTTTTTTTTGTGTTGTGTTCTCGGTTTTTTAGTCTGTGTCGATTTTGTTTTTCCGGTAAATGGGCGGCTGTGTGGGTGGGTAGGGTGCATCGGGTGGTTTTCCCGGGATGGAGGCAAAACGCATATGCAAAATGCGATGTTCGAGTGTCTGTGTGCTCGAGGATTTTTATCGGCAGCTTCATTGTGTTTTGTGGGCCAGAAAAAGGAAGGAATGGAAGAAAAAGGGGGGATAAAGAAAGTATTTTTTTTTGAGGGGTGGTTAGGCCATAACTATGGCTATTAATCGTTACAAGTGGTCCACCTTTCCACCTATTTTCCAACTATCAACTGTCCCTACGTCTCTTTCTAACTGTCACTCCTCTCCCTTTCTAGCCAGCTCTTTTACCGTTACCTGAACAAATTGGTTCACTATACGTTTCGTTTTTTGGTTGGCTAAAAATCGTTTAAAAAAAACTACAAGACAATCTTATCAAAGCTACAAAAAATTGTTTACTTTCAAAATCTTGGAAAAAGCTCTAAAACCCATTGATCTTTACTAAAAGTATGTATAAATAAAAACTAAATTTTTGGAAATATTTGTCTAACAAAAATTGTAATTTTCCCATTTTTAGAAGGCATTTTCCAAACTTAAAAAGAAATCATACTTTGTAAAAACAACATGCTTGTTAACTAAATTCCAGTCAATTCCTAATAATAGCATAATCACTCTTTTCTTAAATATTAGATGTATTAATGGAGTAAAGTTTACGAACTGACCAACGTATTAATTAACCTAATTACAGTTGAGCTTGCCCAGTGACTCTTAAACATTCTTTCGGCTTTTAGTACAGGGTTTTGTAAGTTTTTGTTCAACTTTTTTCCTGGGTACAGTACATCCCAAAAGGCACCTCGAGAGCACCTCGGGCAGTTCGTGCCCTCTCGCTCGCACACCGAATGCGCCATTTTTGTTTGAAAGCTAATCGAAAAAGGGCGTACAGCCTAGCTCCGAAAAATACCCACGAACACACGTGCTACGTAATGTAATGCAATGTCCGGAAGTACAGTCAACACCCAAAAAGACCAGCAGAAAGCGAGCGAAAGAAAGAGACAGAGGGAGATGGGGGGATAGAGTGGGTGGAGTGGGAGTGGGAGGGAGAGGGAACTGCCACTCGCATCGCATTCAGCAAAACATCATCAAAATTGTAAAAATAAACAAAAGCCAACATGCATAAAACCAATTTCCATTAAGGCCAACACACACGACGCACCGCACACACACACACACATGCAACTCTGTGTGTGCACTAGTGCTGTCCCACTCGGCCACTCGCTAGCCCTCTCTCTTTCTGCTTCCCTTTTTGGCCTGTCCATTGCAGCATTGAACAAAGTTTCGGGCTTAGATGGTGTTTTTTTTTCTCTTTTTTTATTTTATTTTTTTTTTGTGTGTGGAGGAGGAGGGGGGTTACTGGACTTTGGTCTCTGAGCCTGCCTATGGCCACCGAAAAATCCTCAAAAATAAAGTAAAGCAGGGAAGACGAAGTAGCGGGGGGCTTGTGAGTGAGCTGTATCCTTAATTGATATCGCAGCAAGGAATTTCTCTGCCACCCACTCAGGAATAAAAGGGAAAAATACGAAAGAGGAAAGACCCGGCTTCTCGGACAGGATGAGCTCTGTGTCCAGTGCTGGGAAGTATCTAGATTCGTGTACCTAAAGGCAAGCTAAGTACCCATTACGGCGTTTTTAACAACTTTCCAACACTGTTATAAACATAGATTCAAAATTGTACGGTTGTCATAAGTAAGCGTATGGTCCTAACTGATTTAGTTTTAGGAACAACAAATTAAAGACTAAACTATTAAAAATAAATTTAATTCTATTTTTTATAGAAATATAAGTTTAAGCAACAGATTTGTAACTTTGTAGAAATATTCCATAAAGAATTTTTGAATAAAAAATATTTTTAATTTTCGAGCAAAACTATTCAAATAAAAATTGTAGGTTTGTATTATAATTACATAATGATTTTGTGAATAAAGTGGATAAGGTAGATCAAATACCCAAAGGGATCCAGAGATTCGAGAAGCATTACTTCAAATATAAAACAATGGTTACCTCTACCATCACTGGCTGTATTTCTATCTCTTTGGGTTTTAGCAACGGGTGTAGAGCGCAGGGGGGGTCTTAAACACACACGCATGCGATGGGTTGGGGGGTTGGGTGTTTTTTTTTTTTGGGGGCCTTTGGGTGGCATTGCAAACGCAACGAGGATACTGCATGCGATAGGTCGGAAATTTTCTGCCGAGCTCGCAATCAACTCCATGGACTTTGGACTAGGAGATATAGCTACCCAACCCCCCCCTCACCACTTTTCGTGGCGGCGCACCTGCAGCACGAATGTGCAAGGGGGGCGGAAAGAGGAGGAGGAGGAGGAGAAAGGGGGTGATGGAAAATTCTGAGGGTTGTGTGCAGGACGCAGTAAAATGGCGGCATCCCAGGCCTTTGGGCTTGGCCAAAGTCCATGTGTGTGCTTGTGTGCGTGCATAGAACCCCTATAGCCCCCCCTCCTCGCCACCCCTGCCTTTGTGTCTGTGTGCGTTTCCATTTTGCCATTTTTGCCACCCACCCACCTATCCTCCCTTTGTTTTTCACTCGCCTTGGTAGGCACCACCCCCTCGGAAAGCACCGCACACTCCCCCTCCCAGACCCCCTTGGAAAACCCACCCATGCACCGAAATGCGAGGCGAAACTGAAGTTCATGCAACTTAGGTCTAGGGATGTCTGTCTCTATTCGAGTGTGTGTGTGTGGGTGTGTTTCGGGTGGGTGTTTTGGTGCGTTGCATGTCTGCCGACACACACACAAAATACATATACGTATGGACAGATAGATAGTTGTACAGTGCGTTCTGTTTAAATAGACATCTTATAATAAACTGTGATTAACAAAATTTAAAAAAATATATCATAAATATAAATATATTTAAATACATGCCCGTGCTATGCCGGCACACACACACACTCAGAAAAAAAATCGCCCTAAATTTTAGAAAATCGCCATACTTTGAAAATCGCCTTGAAATTCAGAAAATATTTCTATTTTTCAGAAATATTTTTCTAAATAATAAGAAAAACTTACCCTGATTAGATCAACTCCTCTTGTTATCCACTTTTAGAAAAATTTTCTGTTATTCAGAAATTTTTCTTTCAAAATAAGAAAAAATCGCCTTAAATTTTAGGAAATTGGCCCAATCGGTAGCCTAGGGGTCTAATGCGAGCGGATTATTTGTTTTCTACGCTTATATTCGGAAGCGTGTGTTCGATCCCACGTCGAGGCGGACATTTTTTGCGGCTTTTTTTTTTTTTTTTTGCGCATTAATATGAATACTTTAATACAAATAAGGATTTAGGTAAGGTAACACACACATAATGGATAAATAAGATTATAAACCTAAAACCCAAGAGAACAGAATGAGAATGTACTTTGTACAGCGCCTCTCGAGATGCTTCCCTGGCGCAGCTAGTAGAGTGTTTGACTGCAAACTGTGAGGTAAGGGGTTCGATTCCCGCGAGCGACCAAAATGTTTTTCTCAAGATAGTAAGTTGTTTGATTTTTATGTTTATCATTAATAAATAATATAATAATTTCAGTTATTATTTCAGTTACAATTTAAATTTAAAGGTGGGTTTGTGTACAAGCATCGTGACGTCATCCAAGTGTATAAATAGAGGAGAGAATAATAAGTTGAGAAACGAGAACCCCAACAGCAACACCCCTCACACTGACAGAGGGGTGGAGTCGGCATAACTCCCGATTCCCCGATTTTTTTTTCTTCTTCTTATTCAATTTTGCA